CTTTTGTTCGGCCCTAACCGCACCGCGACAGCCCCACCCCGGAACTGACCTCACCCGGCCGGCATGACGGCCATCAGCCCGTCCCGCTGCCGCCGCTAGCGGGGAAGCGAAGGAGGGCACCGTCATCTCGGGAGCGGGCACGACGAGAAGGGCGCGCCGCCATCTTTGTACAGGGCAACCCGGGAAGCTAGGCGGCAGTTATGGTGGCGCGGGCGGGAAAGTGAAGGCGCGGACGCCATCTTGATGCAGGGCAGCGCTCAAGATGATGAGTGTCTTAAAGGGGTCGCCAACCATTCCCGGCTCAGCTCTGAGCAGAAGGGGAAGGCGGAGAGCTTATCGCCTTCACCTGCTGTAGCAGGACAGCAGGACTTCAGAATTTATTCTTTTGGGAAAAATTACCTCTTTATTAAGATTTATGACCCGATCACGACCAATCCTCCTGTCATTATTTCATTTAATGTAATTCTATGCACAACTCGGTCTCACAGCCTCTGGCGCTGAGGGACAGCAGCTCTGTCCCTCAGGAAGAAGGACACCAGGCCCTGATTCAGCCTCCTGTGGCTGCTCTGAACACAGAAGGGTTCAAAATTACAGCTGCCATGCCCTGGCATCACGTTGTTTCAGTTTTAGCGCCTCAGCGTGGTTCGAGCCACGTGAAGCTCTGAGAGGGGCATCTACACAGCTCCCTGGACCTGGTGTACATCACCTCAAGGCTCAGAGACAAACGGAGGCTGTGTCTTTCCTTGCCAAAGCCCTACTTCCTCTCAGATTACTTTAATCCCTTTCCTTAAATCCTAAATGGTTAAAATCAGCTTCACCTGCCTCACTCTGTGGCTGTGCCCCGTGCAGGGGGAGGAATGGTGCATAGCCCAGGCCTGACCACCCAGTCTTCCCCTCACACACCCACCCGGCACCAAAACTCTGACGCACACCCAGTTTCCATCCTTCAAATCACCAAGCAATCACCCAGGACACTGGCATCATCCATATTTAGGGACTGGGGGCACATGGCCCATGGTGGAGAAAATCTGGTGAACATCTCACTAGATGCCTCAAATAAAAAATGACGGATACAACCAGTATAACATTTAAGGCTAGTTAACAATAAGAGAACGAAAATCATTTAAATTGCAGCCTTTACCACTATTTCCTTAGGAACCAACCTATGTGACGTTTCTAAAGTGGAATATTTTTAAAACCCCGTTCCATTTCTCTAACAACAGCTCACCAAACAGAGGCCACTGAAAAACACAGCATTTGTTTCCTCGGAGCAGGAATAGTAACACTGGTGTGTTACGAAGATACGTCCAACAGTAATTTTGTGGTATCTGAAAAAAGCAGGCTGATTCACTAATGCTTATTTTCATTTGGCTGACTCATTGGAGGACATTGGGCTGCATAATTTTTTTAAAAATTCATAAAGGATGGTTCAAAGGCATTCATTATAATTTCATTAGCGTACAACAGGCAGTTCTGAGTGGTTAAGTGCAGCCAATTTTAACTTGCATACACAAGTGATCAATGATATAGTAAAATAAGCACATCTGTGGCTTTCTAGGAACATTATAGGGCTTAGCATCCCCCTGTGGCGGTAGGCACAGGACCTGTACCAGGAGAACTATGATCCCACCTGCCAGGGGCAGTGTTGTAGACAGTGTTTTCTGCCAGGTTGGCTTTTTGCTAATTGAGCTAGCCAAGTGAGCTCAGCTGAGGGGCAAACCACAACCAGGGGAGGTGCAAGCCTGGCAGAGGAGGGGGCAAAGAAAAAACAGCGAGGGCAGCAGCCAGGAGAGTAGAAAATGGCATTGAGCTATTAGATGGCTCAGGATGTGCCGTGTACATTCTTACAAAAGTAAACGCAAGTTTCCTTCCATCTGTTTGTTTGAGTTACACACAAGTTTAGAAAACAAAGTGTTTGCATCTGCCTGCACTGACATTCCCTCCCGCTTAGTCATGGCAGGGATGGTGTGAGCCCAGTGGCCGGATGTCAGGTTAGAATTTGGGAACCTTTGGCACAGAGGACGTCAGCCACTTCCTTTCCCTGTGGCTCACTTTTTCCTACTGTGAAAGGGAGACAGTGATTACTCACTCAGGAGACCTACATGACTGGATTCATCCGTACATGTAGAGCCCTGTCACAAAGGGAAGAGGGAAGCTGAGAGAGCCCAAGTTGCGCTCTATGCCTCACTTGAGCGATTGTCACCTCTCAAATGACTGATGGAGAGTCCAGCTCCTGCATCCATGCACTGAAATCCCCATCTGAGGCTGCTGTGTCCCTTCAGCATCCACAACCCAGGGGTCAGACGATGGTACAGGATCTTGCTTTAGGTTCTATCGTCACAGTAGGATACCCTCTAATAATATCTTCTGAATGCTGATGCATTCACCTTCATAGAATCACAGAATGCTTTGGGCTGGAAGGGACCTTAAAGACCATCCAGTTCCACCCCCTGCCATGGGCAGGGACACCTTCCACCAGACCAGGTTGCTCCAAGCCTCATCCACCCTGGCCTTGGACACTTCCAGGGATGGGGTATCCATACCTTCTGTACCTGTGATCCATACTCTTCTCCAGTAATAGTAAGCCTGCAGGGTTCCGTTTTTGGGAGTGCCTGACTGCCCTAAAAATTCGTTTTTCAAAATGACTAAAGGCTTCACTCAAGGGGAAATCCCCTGCCACTGCTATCCCAAAGTAATTATAGTCACACCGCAAAAATTTTCCCGCTATAATTATGCCGGTGTGAGCCTCCATCTGAACAATACGCTGGGATATTTTTCCAGGCGGCCAACATCCTCTGGCAGCTCCGGCTCCAAGCCCCCCGGGGGGATGGGATTTGCCCCCCCAAAGCCCTCTCATCGCTCCCCCGGTGCTGCAGAGCCACGCGCGACCCCGCTTGCCCGCTCCGCATTTCCCCGTTAGTGCTGCAGCTCCCGCCTTTCCTGCCGCCTCCCCGACTCCTCCCAGGAAGTCCAGACTGCCGATGAAGCTTTTCGGAGACTCGGAGGGGGCGGAAAATGCCGCCGGGGCGGCTGTGCCAGGCGTTTGCAGCATAAGCCCAGTTTGATGTAAGTGGTTTTACCCCCCCCCTTCATCCCTGCTGGGAGCTGCCCCGCGCCTGTGTGTGTGTTGGGGGGCTGTTGTTGCTGCTTTCGGCTCC